GTTCCAGGTTTTATCCAGCAGCCCAACAAAGCCTGGTTTTAGTTTAGAAAACATGAAAATAGAAACGGATGAAGGATTTTTTTTCTACAGCTAGTCTACTGCTGTAAAGCTAGATGTCCTCCTGGGGAATCAGATCATAATGTTTCTTCTTCTTGGAGAATAAAGCCCTTTATAAGAGGCTAGCAGTAGAAAGATAAATAAGCCCAGTAAGTCTACAGTTAGAGTGCAACATTTGTCTGAATTTAATTATTAAGTCAGTTTTAATTTAAACAGAATTAGAATTTGATCCTTTGTATGATATGAGAAGTTATTTATAGGCTGCTGCTGTTTGGGTTTAAAGTTCATCAGAATAAGAAACTTTAACCAAGTTTCTCTTAAAGCAGCTAAAGTTTTCATGTCTTCCATCAGATCATCTTTTAATGTTTCATATTAAGCCTGAAATCTCAGCGTAGAATAAATGGCCGGATGGTCTTTCTGTTTCCGCTTCAGTTTTTCAGGCGAGGACTTGGAGATTTCTTCATCGGCTGCCTGTTCCTCACCGAGCTCAGCACTCCGTTCATCTGCATAGGAAAGATTCTCATTCAGGTGAATAATGGAATCGTATTGACTCGGATCGTGATGCGGATTATTCCAGGTCTCCATCCGTGTTTCTCCGTTTCTTTCTCCCAGCTGCACCTCGACGACACCAAGCTGTATAGGATCAACGGCCTGGTCGCGCTCCTGACCTTCTTCACGTGTCGCATCCTTCTCTTCCCCTTCATGTACTGGATGTACGGCCGCCATGCGTCCGTTCCTCTGCACCGGGTGGCCTTCCACCTTCCTCTGCACTGTAACCTGGGGAACCTGCTGCTCCTCGCTCCACAGGTCTACTGGTTCGGTCTGCTGCTTAGGAAAGCTCAGCGACTCTACAGGAGGACCAGGAAATCTGACTGACAACGTTGCTCTGGTTCATTATTAATCAGACTAATGGATTAGTGAAATAATCAACTAATTCAGTTATTAATCGTTAACTGGAGGAGAGACTCTAAAACACGTCTTTAGCAGACAGAGAAACTCAGAGCAGGAATTATAGGAAAACTATAAAAATATACCAATATTTAGCATTTAACCTAAACTTTTTTCTTCTGTTAAAATGTTCTGTCCTGCGACGGAGCATTAGGGACAGGATCGAGGTTTTTATTTTAAATACAAGAATA